CCTCAGGGCTTTAAAAAAGAAAACAGAGGGTTTCAGCCTTGAGCTTAGTGAAGTTGGAGAGGGAAAGGAGCTTTTGAATTACAAAAACTGTCCATTGCCATTTTTTTCTTGAATTTCGCCAGCTCTTCATGTCCTTAAATATTCGAAAGCTTTATTTAAGCGATAATTTTGTCTAGTTTTGATTGCACTTGCTTTCAACGTAAAGTTCAGCAGGTTTTTTCAGTGTAACAATTGAAAAATATCGAGTGCAGTAAAATATCTAAAGTCTCTCTCATTTTATGGGTATACTGGAAGTCAAATACAGGGTGTTCACAAAAGCCGCAGTAGAAAATTACGTTTAACTCAAAAAAATCAAAAGCTCTTTTATTTAGGTCATTATTACTTGAGTATTCTGCTATGGTTATGGTTATCACAATTTATCCAATGAACACATTTCTTCTCATTAATTTCCCAAAAAAATCAAACCTTTTTTAGAACAGTCATAATCAGAACTACCGCATGAACAATCTCAAGTAAATTTAAAGCTCTTTTAGAACCACGATAATACACATTTTTAAGATGTTTTTTCAGTGTAACGGTATCACCGGAAAACTAGCGGTAGGAGGAGTTCGCAAGAATTCCTAACTAGTCTCTCTTATTTTCTGATTACACTTGCACTCAAACACAGGGTGTTTCCAAAAGTTTACAGTAGAAATTTAAAACATTTAAAGCTTTATTTAAACTATATTTTTTCCAGCATTGGATTCGACTGGATTTCTATATAATTTCACAAAACCTTAAATTGTCAAGGATTAATTGCCTGCCAAAAACACACTTTAAGAATTGCAACCAAATTGCGCAAGCTTTTTCCCAGTGTAGGTAAATGCTAAAATTTGGCGTGTTTTTTCAGTGTAAGGTTCACACAAATTTCCAATGAGCCTGTTTGATTTTCTGAATATTGTCAGTGGAACATCGGGTGTCTACAAAAGTCGCAGTTGCAAAATTAAACTTAACCAGTTAAAGACGCCTGTTTAGATTTGTGGATTTTTCAGTCAACAGATGGTGGCAAAAATAAAACACTATTTTTTCACGAGCCGACGTTTCGAGTAGGTATATTTAAGTCACCCTCAGGGCTCTAAAAAGGAAAACAGAGGGTTTCAGCCTTAAGCTTAGTGAAGTTGGAGAAGGAAAGGAGCTTTTGAATTACAAAAACTGTCCATTGCCAATTTTTTTCTTGAATTTTACCAGCCCTTTATGCCCTTAAATATTTAACTATCTTTCCAGTTTTCCTAGTAACATTAATAGATATGAATGGGAACAAACCTGTTTCGCTCCCATCAAAATCAGCCGAATCTCTCGACGATTCCAAGGGTTTCCAGCAGCAAATGCCATCACTAAACACTGCCTGTCGGCCGGTAAATTTGTTCGGATCTAGAATGTTCTCAACGGAAAATGCAAGCCGCCTTTGCGGATGAGACACTACCACCGACGGACTGGGATCGCGTAGAGGGCTGCGACTCCGGCTCAAATCACTACAAACACTTTCCGACCGCTTCAGATCCTCCTTGAAGCTGCTGAAGTCGCTGTGCGAATCGCTCTTGGAGCAGAACGTGAATTTCTCTCTACGCGTTAGATCGACGGGACACAACGAACTCTCATCATTCTCAACGTCCACATTCAGATCTTCCTCGTCCTCCTCGCACATATCCATGTCGCGCGAATCTTCGCACAGTTTCTTCTGTTGCAAATATTGGTCGGTCCCGTCCAGCACCGTCGAGTCGTGCGGCTTATGAGTAGGCGACACTAAACGTTCCATCATCAGCATAGTCATTTTGTAAACACTAGGGCATAGTAGTCAAATTACTGGTGTTGACTCTGTTATTAGGGCCTAATACACTTACTAAACTCTGCCCGAAGCAGCTACATCCAGAATGGATGCTGTCCCTGCGTCCGGTAGGCGTGGCAAGCGTCCCATTGGTCCGTGTCCCGGACGCGATTGGACGCAAAGTCTGATGGCGGGTGTGGCTTGGGGGAGCACCGGCGGCTTTATTTGCTTTGTAATTATGAATATGATTTGTAATAACAGAAGGAGTCGCTGGAAATTAGTCGGTGGCACAAAGGCACTTATACGCCGCGGCATGATGAAACAATTTAAATTTAGTAGCGGTGAAAATGTTATGGTCAGCGCTTAATTGGAGCCCGATTGTGTGTTGTTATTTCGGCGGGCTGGGCGCTTATCACAGCTCACTTTACTAAATGGAACAAAGCGATAATGCGCCGCTAATTTTCTGATTATTATTTGCTCGATGTGGCCGATGTGGCAGCAGCCACGGTTTAGTTTGTTGCGATAATTTCAGAAATGTGAAAAAATTGTCAAGTATCTACTGTTCAAGTACTTGGTTCAAATAAGAGGCTTTTGCGCTAATTGGTCGGCTTGCTCGAGGCACGACCACTCTGAAGATGTAAGTCCCTCATGCTTGAAAAACGTCCGGGGAACATTCTTTTCCACGACTCCATGTAGGAACGCGAAATTCACCAATTTCTAATAAAATGGTTTGTGAATATTTATTTTACAGTTTCCAAATCAATTTTGCGTAACTGCAAAAGCCACTTGAATACGCAAAAAATGCCCTAAACCCGAAATGCTGCGGATAAATAAGGAAAAGCGTCATAAAATAATAAGAAAATATGATGATTTGGATGACTTGCAAAGCAAATACTTATTAACATTTTAGTGATATCACCAGTCAAATTTCAAAATTTTGTGTCTAAAGACGACGGACGAATTTTCGATTTATCAACACCCAAATTTTAATCCTCATTTTACATAAAAATAATAGAAATGTAGAAAAAAATTCAAAAATTAAATAAAATTTATAGGGTGTTCTTTTGGAAAAAAAGTTGTTTTCTACGCTGCAACATTTGTCTGCCCAATATGTCGCTGATAATTTTGAGAGAAATAAAACCGGCGAACCGTAAACTTACTTTACTCTATCCTTGGGACACCCTGTAACATAAATTGCTCAAAAAAATGAACGTTACAGTCAAATTGCCTCAAACGATGCTGTTTCTGTTTGAAGCGTTATTTAGCTGCATACATTTTCTGTTAGTCAATGTTTTGAAACAAATTACGCATTGCAGATACATTTTCTACAGGATGGCAAGTAAAAAATGCAAATTTGTATAAAGATCGGTATGCTCCCAGTGCGACAGAAAAGAGGTTTTTGGATCTCAACCCTAAAAGTTTAAAAAGATAAACGAAATTGCCCTAAACGAGTTTTGCCTTTTCCGGCCATCTCTTCTATTTACAAGTCCGTTTCAAAAACTATTTTTTTTGGTTTTGCAGCCAAAACTTTTCTGCTCTGGGATCAATTTTCACGATCTTGAGCTCCTGTTGAACCCTTCATAGGCAATCAAATACTTTCGATATTCGATATACAGGGTTGCATAAAAATGATTCAAATGAGAATGGCCCCCGAAAGCTGTGAATCACAGACTGCGATTCTAGCAGATGTTCAACTAAGGTTCATTTTCAAATATTTCGTTAATTCTGGCAACTCGGTATATCGAACTTTTTTCACAAGTCCAACAACTTCAACACAAGGCCTGGATTTTGGAAATCTGGGCAAGAGAAAAAATATATCACTGCAAGATCAAAAAGTAATTTTTTGTTAGATCTCTCGGTAAATAAACGAGATGGTCGAAAAATTCAAAAACTCTATTCCAAATCTTGATGCTGCTGGGAGAATGTGAAGTCAATTTTGCATTGTTTCCCTTGCCACCCTGTAGAAACTTTATTTCAAGCACTATTTTTTATAAAAACACCCACTAAAAACATTGTACTAAATAACGCTTCAAACAGAAATCAAGTCGCTCTAAGCGATCAGAATTTATCCAGTTCCAAAATTACTCGAAATTTTTATTACAAAGAACAGTTTACAAATCAAACAAACATTAAATTGTCCTCCTGCCTCAGGACAATTTAATGCTTGTTTTCGTTACTATTACTCCACCAATGTTATTAGTTGGGACGATTTGGTTTTATTTTCCAAAGTAATGACATAAATATCTATTTATCTATATATATTTATTGGTAAACTGCACAATTTCACTGCATAACCCCACTTCACAACATCAGTTTTCATTTTCTACCATAATATTTGGATCTTATACCACAGGCAAGTTTTTCGATGAACAAACTCAAAGTGAAAGTATTCAAACTATTATTGAATATGGAGTTTATTTACAGTTTTGAAGGCGAAAGAAATCTGAGAAAATCATTGATTAAGAAATCATATACCTCTTGGTAGAGTCCAGATTAAAAAGCACTGAAATTGTCGAAAATCCCGTTTAAAGAGCAAATTGATTTCTCGCAAAAATGATGAATAACATCTTAAAATGCGTTATCAATGCAAAACAATTTTCCAGTGGGAAAAGATGTAATTTTTCTAAATGTTTTAATTGAAGTTAGTTGTAGATATGTTCTATATTATTGAGGCGGATTCATGTTTTCATAAACTATTTGTTGGGTATTTCGCCTTAGAAAAATGTTCCACGTTGCTGTCTGCTGTTTTAAAATAAAATCGCTCTGAGAAGTCATTTTTACAAATTGTTTCAATATCAATTTGCAAAAACGAATTATCAGATCGAATTTTTACATATTTGCATTCTCCCAATTGTTACACAATTTATTAATGTACCTACTTCGTTTTTAGGTTCATTTAAGTTCTTTTGATAGCGATAGCAGAAAATCGCAGTCGAAACGTCCAGGTATTTTTTTTAATTAATTTATTTACTACTTAATTGGAATTTTCCCTTAGAGCTTGAGCCTGAGTGTATCCTGCAGGATACCCTCTAGGTGATTGTTCTTGATTGATGACCTTTTGATAAATAATTCGTTCTTATTGCAAGGTGAGAGCACTGTTTATCAATCTGTAATAAAAGTCGCGGGAAAATTCAGTCTTTTTTAAAGCCAACAAATTTTTGAGGCAAAATACCCCACTAACGGTTTCTGAAATTTGTTGTAAGGAAATGTGGAATCTCATAAATGAGCGAAGTTTATTGAAAACGCTTTCCTTTACGAACCGACCAAAAAATTAACCTCAAGCTTTACTGCATTCTGAGAAAATAAATGCCAAACAAGCACCAAAAATTTAAATCAGCGAAAAAAGCATGGAAATATATGTCAAAGGACTTGCGTTTGCACATTTCGTTCACATTATTTATCAAAAAAGTAATGCGTTTATTATTTACAAAAAGCATTATGCCTGGAATTCCAGACTGTACTTATGAATGAGTTGCAGTTCGGCACTAGGTTTGGATAGAAAAAACCTACTTGGACCTCAAATTTCTTCCCGCTTTTGCTACCTAAATGTTGTGTGAAAGACTCCTGATCAGCAGCCGGGATTAATAAAAAACCCTCTTCCTTATTAAAGAAGAAAATTGAAGAAACCGTTCGTTGTTTCATGTACAACTGAGTCAGTTCAATGCATTCGGGATCGAGTGAAAACGCATTTGAAAGGCCCGTAATGAAATCCGGGCCATTCAGTCGAAACTTATACACAACCGCGTCTATTAAACCACTTACTCTTCGTATTGGCGTAAAGACCTTAAGCAAATAGCTGAGCGAACGTTCGAATTAAACTTTATAATGCCGAAGGAAACACATCAAACAAGCTCGAGTGTCGGCAAATAGACCGAGGGCCGATTCCATTACCGTCCCTATTTAGTGCTGATTGAAATGAAATTGACACATCTGCTACTTACGCTATCGCTATCGACGACGCTGATTCACTTGGCCCACTTACGGGGGTTCCAGCTACAGTAAATTTTCTTTCCAGCTACTCTACTGACCGACTGTGGCAATCTAGTGAGTGTTTGCCTTTTTAGATCGATCGCGTTTTAATAGAGCCGCACTTCCGGCTGCTATTAATATTATTTTCATTAGGCCCAATCTCTGTTATGGGAAGTTTAAACTCAATTAGAAAATCAGCGGGCTCATAACCCTGAAAATAACCCCAAAGTAAATATAAACCGAATGCTGTAAATGTTTCCACGGGTATTTCAGATGGACTAACTAGCGATCGTTAAGTTATCTTCGCCCCGGGGAATTTCTCATATCCGGCGAACACATTTCAACAATTTGTGTTAATTTATTGAATTGACTATTATTGAGATCAAACAGTCGAGTTTTCGGTTCAAAGCAAATATTTTCGGACCGCACGGCTATTAAATTCGATTTCGGCACTGAAAGATATATTAGGATAAAATATACTTCAGTTTATCCTGATGTAGTGACGAAATTATTATTATTTAAGCCAGTTTTATTAAAATATCTAATGCGTTGAGGGAAACCCGCACCAAATCATAATACTGAATAAAGCTCTCCTTGCACAAGGAGTTTTACAATTTCCGTGACATCCGGATTATGTACGCATTTTACACACAACATTTGGTCCTTCGAGCCGGACCATTTACGCAATTATCAACGCGAAGAAAAATATTTACATTCACCACGGTCACAACTTAGAACTCTGGCTTATGGAGAAGAGGGAAATTTGTCAATGCCTGAAAATCGCCATCGAATTTGAAACTATGCTTAACTAGTAGATCTCTGGCTGCTGAGAACGCATTTCCCGAAGAAATAGAGCGAGGAAAAGTTGTGAGTAAAGGGATTATTTAGAAGTTGATAATATTTGCAACTTCGACCTCGAGGGGGATGGAAACTAAAAAATGCCCGAAAATAGATCGACATTATGTGGAGGTCTCACAGTTGGATACACATAAGCTCGGTGAGTTTTTTCAACATCATAAACAGTATTTTATTTCCATCAAAAACTGGTGCCAAGCATTTTGCGTTAGTTTGAAATTTATTCTGTCACAGACAATATTTCCTTCGGATTAGTGAATCCTCACGCGTTTTGGTACAACTCCAAATAACCCTAAATTTAAGTGCAAAGTTTTGAAAGCAGCCTTAAATAGTTTTCAAACATCGTAGACAAATATATGGGAAAAATAACTTTTGAGGATGGTTATTTAAAAACTTACCCATTTCTCAATATTGAGGAATAATGGCCAAACTACGCTCTGCAAAGACACCTGCAAAAATAAAAAAAA